TGCTGGAGCCATCGCTTTCAACCTCATCATCGACGAGGTCGTGGAAGGAGGCGAGAGCGTAGCCCGCCATCCCCACGAACTCGAACGTGAGAGGGGCCGACGTCAGCATCCTTCGAAGTGCCCACGCGCACGTGTCCATAGGGGAAGCGAAGCCGTAGGGGAACCGGTCACACGGCGATCACGGTGGGGACAACGGGGTCCCTCCGGAGAGTTGGCAAAAGGTGTTAAATAGTGAGTAAAGAACAAAATGTACATCACTCACCGTGGGGTTTGAGCCCAGTATGGGCTGGAGGCGAAGCGCGGGTGTCTCGATGTTGAGGTCGTCGAGTGGCCCAGGGCCGGTGGAGGGCGCTCCTCCTCCAGTAGGCGCCGGGACAAGCGCTTCCTCGCGGAGGCGGAGTACACCAAGCTGGTTGGGGACAAAGTCCAGACTCCCGAAGAGGAAGGTCTGGAGTGGCACGAAGACGAGAGGAGCCCACATCCAGCAAGTGGGAGTGTGGGAAACTCCAACGAGCCGAAGTGAATCGTATCGCTCGAGCCCGCCATGCCGAAGATGTTGAAAGGTGGGCCATCCGATGACCAAAAGCGTGAACGCACGACGTCCTCCCCACAGACGGCGCCAACTGTCGGTGTGAAATGTGGCCAACAAGTAAATATTTGTAGTTTTGTCGTGCGTTGTGATCGGATGTGGCCTAGCACTCAATGACACAGGATTTATACTGGTTCAGGCAACAGGCTCTACGTCCAGTTGAGGTCGGTTGGTGACTTTATTCCTGAGCCTAGGTGCTCGAAGTTTGCTGTGGGGTTACAAACGAGTAAGGAATGAGAAGGGGGTGTTAGAGGCCCGGTCGGACTCTGAGCCGAGTGGTAGAGAGTGACAGATGCTCAAATGTGCGCTAAGTATCGGAGCGTATGCTCTGTGTGTCCGAGCTTATCAGCTGTTGAGAGTGTGTAGACTGTATAGCTGTCGAGCTCTAGAGCTGTTGTGTTGTTGTCCTCGAGTCCTCGAGTCTTCGAGTCTTCGGGGCTTCGGGGGGTTCCAAGCTCCTGTCCTTTTGGTAGAAGAGAGCGCATCCCCTTTTATAGTTGAAGGGGATGGCCTTATAAGTCAGAGAGAAAGAGAGAGTTCATACGGACGCTGCCTAGTCTTGTTGCCCACGTCATCGGGTACGGGATGGCCGTCGGCGCCCATAATACTATTTATGTTCAGACGCGTCTGGCAGGCTCTACCATGTTCGCCTGATACCGCAAACGACGGCGCCCACAATACTATTTATGCTTTGACGCGTCTGGCAGGCTCTACCGTGTTCGCCTGACATGCCCCGATGGCACCGTCCTATAGGTGCGCAGGGCATGGCAGGGTACGGGTTTCGGTATTTCGGTTGACTTGAGCGCCTTACCTTATCTGCTCCGCCTACTCCCCGGGCCCACACCGAGCGGGCATCCCCGGTCAGTCATTCCCAGTCGGCCCCGACCGTGTCGGTCGAGAAAGAGCAACGAACAGAGGTCCGGTGTATTCTCGGTCGGAGAAAGGAGATCGGAAACCGGATCGTTGTCTTGGCCTGTCATTATTTATCTGGGCTAGGCGTGTGCTGTCGCTGCACCGCCTGCCGGGCTGGGTTTTGTAAGGAAGCGGGTCCATTGGGAACCCCGGGTTTATGAAGCCGACAGTATGTCTATAAACTTTTCACTAAATGAAGAGAATTTTGCAAAGTGCAGGGTCCTGCTTTATAAAAACATCAGAATAGTTGAGGGGAATGAGAATAACTGACCTACATTACCCTCTCCTGTCTTGGGGCACCAGGCTGCTGAATGAGTTACTGTTAAGATGGTTTGAATGGTCGACAAAGATATGCTATGATTAAATTCTGTCTATGAGCTATCATGGACAATGGGGGCATTGAGATTCTATACTTGAGTTCTCAGCATTGCAAATGAATAAATGTTATATTCAGGTCAACATCTGCCTTTGCTCTGTCATTCCCAGGTCTGACCCATTTGTCCACAGCCCAAGGAGAAACTTCTTAGAGGAAATACTTTGATTATGGTTGGACATGTTTAAGAAACTGCCGTCCATACAATGGCAGTACAGTCAGCTTCCTGATCAAACATCCATTTCGTTTTCCTTTACACATCACTCGTTTTATAAAGAACTTTTATTTGGACTCATAATCACAGGATAACAAACAATGGGATGAATCCCCGTGTTGTTTATATACATGTACAAAACAATATCCAATACGTATTTAAAAAAGGAGGAGCAAACTTGTTGAACCAACAAATCAACAGACCTAGTCTACAAACCCAACACAAGTTATGTACGACGCCGACCATGCATTGGTGGCGTAATCTAGCTCCTCTTGGAGATTTTAGGAGAAGCACAGTACACTCGTCTCCCTGCTTCGGCAGCATCCTTGATTCCCTGAAGCTGATTAGCTATGTCCTCTAAGAGTTGCAACTGTAATGACTGCCTCCTTTCATTTGCTGCATGCCTTATCTTGTCCTGTGCACCTTTGATGGCATTCAGACTTTTCCCAAGGAGATCATCTGCAGCAGCTCGAGTCTGTAATCTCTCTGCTTGCATTGTTGCCTCTGAGATGCTTCGGCCAATCAGGCCCTTGACTTCTGTTGAGAAGCGGATGTCATCGACCACATGCACATCATAGACATTGGCATCATTCTTACTTCCTGTCTGGTCATTGACAATCTTGTCTATACCCGGACACTCGACTTCCTGAAATGCATGAGCTGCCTGTTCCTTGGTACAAGTATCCTTGGTACAGGTAGATTCCATACCTGGTGCAGCATCAACATGGAAATCGCCACCTTGATCCAAATCTTGGCTCCGGGCGGACAGGGGGAGGATTTCCACTGTCTCTGCTCCATCATCGTCCTCATCCTCATCATCCTCAAAGCTATCTAGCTTCAGCCTTGATTGAGGCGTGGGAACTTTGGCCGGCGTCTGAACAGAAACACTATCATCGCTTCCCACATTGATTCGACCCGCAGCAAGAGGCGGCACCATTGGTTGCTCACGCAGTGATGGCGTCTTGAAGCTGAACCCAGAAGAATCATTCCCAAAATGTTGCATCCGATTCGCATCGACCGATTTGGACGAGCTGGGCTCTCCTTCGGACATGAGGAAACTATGCGGCGTGACCATCTCCTGCTCGTCATCCTCCTCCTCGTCATCCTCGGCAGCGCCAAGCCCGAGCAGGCGTCGGTAGGCGTCCACCTCCTTGCGCAGCGCGCGCGCCTCGCGCTCCCGCACGAGCACGATGTCCCGGAGCTCCTCGACCTCGTCCTCGTAGAAGGCACAGCGCTCGTCAGCGGTGCGGCGCTGCTGTCGCGCCTCGATCTCGAGCGCCGACTTCTCCTTCTGCAGGCGCAGGATCATGGACATGGCCTCCTCGGTCGCCGACGCCGAGGCGCTGCGCTCTTTCTCGAGCTCCCGCTGCAGCTCGGCGCGCGCCTCCTCGCGGCGACAAAGATCCGCTTCCTCCTTCCACGCGTCGACAGCCGCCTGCTCCTCCCCCTCTTCCTCCGCCCCCTCCTGACGGTGGTCCTCGCCATCGGTGGGGCCGGCGAAGGGGAAGCGGGCGCGTAGGGCGGCGTGGAGGGACCCGACGGCGCGGGATGGGTAGCACGCCAGGAAGGCGAGGAGACAGGGCAGGTGCGGGCGCGCGCAGGTGCAGGGGAGCGGGAGGCCGAGCAACGAGAGGAGGCGCGCGGCGACGGCGAAGAGCGCGGCGAGGCAGAGGCAGGCCCAGGCGAGCGTGAGGTCGAGAAACGCCCCCGCCAGGGAGCGCGCCGTCCAGTGGGCGCGCACGGCCGCGTCGCCCGGGCACGGCGTCGTCATCGCATACTTGCAATCACAAGCTGAATCTCGCTGGATTATTCCTATTCCGGTGGCCGGTGGTGCGAGGGGAGGAGACGTGCGGTGCGGGGGATCTGAAGGAAAGCGGTGGGATTGTTTTCTTCTTTTGTTTTTTTCTCTTTTTCTCGTGAATTGGGAGAGGACAGAGGCGGCACGTCTGCGTGCCTCGGTGGCTCGGAATACAGTGTTTTGTAGATTTTCTCTATCAAATTTTTTCTCTCTACTCGCACAGTAGGTCCGTACGACACACACATGCAATACAACTATTTCAAATACAATAAAAATATTAATTAAATTCTTAATATATCAATTCATATATATCATCAATAATTTCTTTAAATACAAAAATACGATAATGAATTATTCATTGGATCTATAGAACATTAAAGATATGTTTTTTTTTAAAAAAGAGTTGCTTTAGATACTGAGACATATTGTACGTTCATGCAGACGAGTTTAACAATAATATTCTGATCCAGACACATAAGTCAGGATTGTATTATCCAGATCTTGAACTGGTTGCTATATCCAGGGCCACTGGCTTATTGGACCATAGTAATAATAATAATAACAAGGCTGATACGCCACTATTTCAGAATTTGTTTGAACCGTACAGCTCAAGCAACAAAAAAGAAATATAGTATCTTTCAAAATCCTCAGAATATCTTCCAACTAGCCCAATAGGAACATCAAAGAGACTATGATACCAGAACAACAAAACCGTATTCTCCCAAGCAAACAAAGGCTGACTACATTCAGTGCACTGAAGTCATGTTTAAGGCATATATAATATAAAATTGCCACTCTTTTACACCTAAAAGTACATACAGTGGGTACAACATCAAACAAATCATAGAGGCTTTAGTGCTAAAGTGTTGTAATTACTAATCCAATCCATCTGTACTGAAGGGGCAGAGCTCCTATCATCCATTCCAAAAAATTAGACGTTACTGAAAAGACTTGTGGTACCTATTGTCTTCAAGACACTTAAATATGCTCTTTTGTTTCTCCACTGTTAAAAAGTAGGTTACTGGGCTTGTGCAATAAGCTCAGCAAGAGGCAGCTGTCAGAAAATAGAATGCAGGTGCATGCTAGTTGCTACCTTAGGTAGCCAGACACATGGTTATTTCTCTTCATTGTCTGAATCAGACTCTGCAAAAACAGGTTTCGGCTGGGTTTGAGAATAAGCTGGCGCAATAAACTTTGGGTCTTTCTCTGCAGCATCAGCATACTTCAAAATCGCTTCTCTTGGATCTTCATTCATCCAGGTCTCCTTAATTAAACCACCTTCCTGTAACATGCAGAAAGGGGGCAAATATATGGGGTAAGTAATCAGTTGACCCCAAATGGTATCAGTGGGACATGCAGAAAACCTAAAACAACCCCAATTACAACAATATGTACATACAAAACACATGGAGATATTAAGTATGTGCACTACCTTCAAGAGGTACTGTGTCAGCAAACTGCCTTTTGTAGTACCCACTCTTCCACCATAACCTGGACCATTAACAGGTGCTTCTGGCTTGTGTGATTTGAGCGGGTCTTTCAGTATCTTCTCTCTTTGACGTTTACGACTTGGTTGATCTCTGAAAAGTGGCAATGCATGTGGATTGTGTATGACAGGTTGCACCTCAAAATCATCAACAGACTTTTTCCTTGGTGCTCGTCCAACACATACAAGAGCTCCCCTTTGACTAATAGAAGGATCATACAGGATATGAGTCCCACCTTCTTTCTTGTCTCCAACTGTTGCAAACACCTAAAGGTAAAACAAAGAAGTTCAATAATATCCTTTAAAATGGCAGTGCTCATTTCTTGAAATTCATTAGTAAGAGAAAAAAAAAACCTGGTTGATTCTTGGATGCCAGAGGCACCTTATCACACTGTACTGTGGTGAAATTCCCACCCTTGATACAAGCTCAAGTTTCTTTCTATCAAAGAAACAAAGTAATCCCCCATTGTCACCATCTTTTTCAATAGAAGTTCCTGTAAAAATAAGCTGCTCATCTGAGCTAAAGGCTGCATTTGTCTCAGCATAGTGATTTGGCAGATCTTCAAATACTTTCAAAGGAGTTTTCATTCTTCTCAAATCCCATATCTGCATTCACCAATGCAACATCCCAATTAGATACCTTGGAATAATAAGAAAAAAAAGGAAATGCATACAACCTGACACTGACAATACAGGGACTAGCACAACCAGTGTTATTGGCTTATTGCGTAGATCTAGTGTGAATCTAATATCTTACTTTGAAGTTTGAACTAGCATACAGTCGATTTGTACAGTCTGGTTGTATGTATAGCAGGGTTCTAAACAAGGAAGAACACATCAATGCCACATTACTATAAATCACATATTTGCATAGCTACAGTACAACAGAACAGCCCAAAAATATCTAACACGACCAGTCAATCCACAAAGTTGCAAGTTCAATAATAGCCATAAATATGTGACCTCCCCTCACATCCATAAGGACATAATCAAGTTGAAAAGTTAATCTAAAGTTTTGAAATTTGTAATCCTCAAAGCTCAGGTAAATTACCTTAAGAGTACTATCCATACTTCTTGACAGAAGAATCTGTCCATCTGTTGAAAACTTAACCCCAGTAATATCCTCTGTGTGTGTTTTCTCAACATGGATATCTGGTCTGCTACCCCATCCAGCTTTTATGGTCCAGACCTATGAGGGATACAGTATGCAGGTCAGTGAGCATTACAAGAAACAATTTGACTGAGTATAAAGTGATAAAGGAACACAAGAATTCTACATAAAATATATACCTGTATAGAACCATCTCCTATGCCACCCACAATTCGTTTTCCTTCATGGTCCCATGCACATGATGTAACAGGAATCCGCATTGGTCTTACCAGCTTAGGTTTGATGACCTATTCATAAAGTAATTAACAGATTCAGCCAGCCACAGTTCAAATGATGAAAATTTTGATTATTTGAAATAGCAAATGAAGAATTCCGAGGTACTAAAATGAACCAATAACAGTGCCTTCCAAGGGTCTCCTGATATTATTTTAGAAAAACAATTTGTTAATGTCTGGCAAATAGAAATAATAGATCAAAATACCTGCTTCTGACTTTTAAAGTCAGACACATCCCAGAGACGTATGGAGCCATCTTCAGATGATGTCAGAATGGTCTCTTTTGACTTTGGATTCCACTCACCACCTGTAAGCCCAGAGATGTGACCTTTTGTATTCTTCAGATCACTTAATATACATATCACCCTTAACAAACTCGCCTAGCGTAAGCCCATCCCTGTCATAAATCTGATTTAAAGCATACTTGTCAATAACAAGTTTTCAGCTCTACTGGTGAAGTATTGGGAAATACGAAAGGTTACAAGAGAAGAATACCTTGGCCTGAGCTGAACCAGTAACACATAAGAATCGATCAGACGTTGGACTCCAACTTAGGCTACGAACTTGATGGCCCTCAAAGGGTTCCAATTGTCTGAATGACTGAAGCTTTGAATTCATACCCTGGAAGTCGTACATACGCACTGTATAATCATAGCTACCAGAGAGCACTCTGGATCCTGTATGGTCAACAGCAAGGGCAGAGACAACCTGGCAGAAATAGTATTATTATTAACCAGTAAAATACATGTATTAGAAACTGTAGCATTACGATTTGAATGACTAGCAAGTTAGCAATCTCATGAAATCTGTTTCTCGAACTATACCATTGACTAGCCTGTGAGCTATCAATTCCAATTAGAACACCACAATTGACATCTTGCTGAACTTTTCATAAGCATTGAATGTTCAAAAACCAGCTTTACCATCAATCACACTAATTCTAAAATCTAATTCAAGATAAAACAAAAGCTGATATTCATTTGCAATTTCATTATATGTTTCAAACAGGTTTTAACAATCGAACCTACCAGTAATCCATCTACCTTCTCTGGGGAGTATCCTAATACTAAAAATAAAACCGTCACCAGCTAACAGCATGGGAACTTTGGTCTTTTTTTTCTTTCTAAAACCAACTAATTCAGCTAAATTGTCTCAGAAAAAGAACAATTCGTCCAAATGGCGCCTAAAGCAATCAAGCCAAGCTAGATAGAAGGCCACATCAGTATAACAAAACCAAATGAAGGAGGAGAGCTGGAGCTCGTTGCTCGTACCTTAGTGTGCCCCCGCAGAACAATTTCGTTGCTGAGAGGGATCCGATTGAATCCACCATCGCCATCATCCTCCATCTCCTCCTCCTCGTCCTCACCGTCATCGTCATCGACGTCTTCATCATCCGCTGGCGGCGGCCTAGGCGGCCCAATCATGCCGTCGCCATCGTCGTCGTCCCCCTCGCCGCGAGCTGAGGGCGGCGGTGGCCGAGGCGGCCCGATCGGCGACACCGCCGCCTTCCTCGTCGTCGTCCTCCCCGCGGACGCCGGCGGCGGCCGAGGGGGACCAATCATAGCGGCTGAATCGTCGTCCGCGGCGGTAGAGGCGGAGGACTTGGGGTTACTAGGGTTTTGAGGCTTGCGAAGGGTGGAGGAGTGGGCGGAGGAGGCCGCAGAACCGGGCCGAGCGGGCGCCTTGCCGAAAGAGAGCGGGAAGAAGGCCCGCATAGCCTCCTCGTCCATCTCGGCCCCGTCAGCCATGGGCACACGCTCGCCGCCGGCGAGGTCAGGTCGTGAATGCGTGTGCGCTGCGCGAGGTTGCCAGCTCAGGAGAGATACGGGTTCTTGTCTTGCAAAGCCGGTTGAGCGAGTCGGTACCTGCACAAAGGTTTCAACATGCTCTTGCTCGTTAAGACCTGTTTGCTGTGGGAACTGTTTTCTATTTTCTATAGGATAATAATTCTATAAAGAAAATGTTCATGTCCGAGAAATAAATCAATTATTATTTTAGACTTTATATGTTTTCATCCATGTTTTAATGCCACCGCTTCCCACTGTCACACTAATATGTCTTCATCCATGTTTTAACGATAATTCTTGGTATATATATATATATATATGGCGTCAATCTACGCCGTAATTATGGGCCGTCCGCGCCAGCCCAACTACCGCCTAAAAAAAAGGCTGACGCAGTGGCCGGTGTGGTCTTATCTTTTCGAGCAAGCTAGCCTCATCTATCATTCACCAAGCCAGGAGACGAGCGAGATTCTGCTAAAAAAATGAGGTGGGTGAGATGCTGACCCAGCTCATCGGAGCAGCTGTTGTGGCGAATCGAAGATTCAGTGGCGGTGGCGTGGGGTCAGCAATGCAGTCGCATAGGCAACGACATCCATCTCGCGCACGGCAGCGCATCTTCGTTCCCCAGCGCCGCAGGACGTCAGCGAACCACTGCGCTTCCCGTGTCCGGGTGCCGACTGTCGACGTGCAAGCAAGGTGACAGCAGCTCCGAGCCCACGCGCGTGGGAGGACACGGTGGCTCCGGAGGCCCGCGTGCGAGCGGCGTTGGAGACAAGCATGACGACAGAGACCCGTGCCGCCGTGCGGGAGGGAGGCGAGGGTGGCTATGGCATGCAAGTTGTAATCTATCGCGGCCTTCTAGAGTGCGTGGACCCGTCGTAGCCTTCTCCACCGATCCTGTCGCGGCCTTCTCACCAGAGCGGTGAGCTCCACGCCACCGGTGAACTGTACACCGGTGAACTCAACGCACCAACAAGCCTCTATTCCGAAACAGCAAGGAAATATTGTGCTGAAAGCGCATGTTGCAAGCGTATGTTCCAAGTGTTTCAGAGGTATGTTCCAAGTGTTTTAAGCGGATGTTGCAAAAGTAGATCGAAATGTTGCACATGTTGCAATAGTTGTGCACGTATGTTGCAAGCTTTTTCCAATGTTTCATCTGTGTTTTTTTCAAACATATGTTACAAGTGTTTATTTAAATGTTGCATATATTTCACGCATATGTTGCAAGTGTTTTACCTGGATATTGCGTATGTTTAACAATGGTTTTCAAGTGCTTTTCATGTGTTTTTACAAGTGTTTTCAGATGCATGTTTCAAATATTTTATCTACCTTCAGACGTATGTTACAATTATTGCATCTGGATGTTTCAAAAGTAGATCGGTTGTTGCATCTCCTTCCTCACTTTCTGCTGCCTTCCTCGGTGCCTCCTCCTCCTCCCGGCGTTGGCTGGGCATCCACCACCCCCTCTTTCCTCTTTCTCAATGATGGTGACATTCGGGGTGGTGTGGGCCCCATGTGGGTGCGCGAAATCGCACGGGAAATGGTTGCAGGCGTGGGGCGTCTAGCAGAATATTACCCAAACCCCTCCTTATTGTTAGAATTTATCTTCGAGTTCATCTTTATAATTTTGGAGACAATTTGTGATATGCTGTTGAGATGCCTCAGTTGTGGGTTATGAATGATTGTTTTTTTCTCGAACTACGCAGTAGAGCTGCACGTCATTTCATCAAGAAGGAATTGTCAAGTATCTCTTTACTGTTTCTTAACTTAAACTAGTAAAAGTGATATCTTTCCAAACTCGAATGCATCAGTTCAGTAATCAACGAATGAAGTGAAAGGATCAAGATGCCCAAGAGGGGGGTGAATTGGATTAATTCTAAATTTCTTTGCAATAATTAAATCCTACGGTTAGCCCAATTAACCCCTTGTGCCTAAAAAGTGTTTCTAGTTGTTCTACCGCACAAATGACTTGCAACCTAAGTTCCAATCCTACTCTAGCATGGTAATTCTATGAATTGTAAAGACAAGAATTGAATTGCTCAATGTAAATACTCAAAGTAATTACTCAAAGGAAATACTCAAAGTAAATGCTCAAAGTAAATAGAGAAGGAGGAACGCGGCGATGTTTTGCCGAGGTATCGGAGAGTCGTCACTCCCCACTAGTCCTCGTTGGAGCACCCGCGCAAGGGTGTAGCTCCCCCTTGATCCGCGCAAGGATCAAGTGCTCTCTACGGGTTAGATTCTTCGACACTCCGTCGCGGTGAATCACCCACAACTGCTCACAACTTGAGTTGGGTCATCCACAAGCTCTTCGGATGATCACCAAGCTCTCCAATCACCACCAAGCCGTCTAGGTGATGGCGATCACCAAGAGTAACAAGCATGAACTCTCACTTGACCACGACAAGCCTAGGGAGAAGGGTGGATGCACACTTTGCTACTCTTAATCTCACTAATAAGGGCTCTCTTTGGGATGCACACTCAAAAGATATGAAATAAGCATGAGTACAAGTAATAAAGCTCATTTGCATCGGAGTAAAACGCGGAAGGAAAGGCAAATGAGCATAACACAAGTGATATGACATATAAATAATTCAAAGTAGAGGGCACACATGTCATATATCACGGTCACGTAGATATCACTATCACATATATATAGTTCAATGCATGAAAGTAAACACACGATGAATGCATAATAGTGTATCACACATAAAAACTCCAAATGTAAAAGGATAAGCTAATATAATAACTAAGCTCCCCCTGAATATGTCGCTCCCCCTAAATCTATCATATTCGATCCCTCCCCCCTAAATCTATCATACTCGATCCCTCTTCCCCTTTGGCGTCAAACACCAAAACCTAAGGGTCGGCCGGCGGGGCTGCAGCGGACGAGCCGGGCGCTAAGGTACAAGGAGCAAGCTGGAACTGGGCACCATCATCATCTAATCCAGAGCTCTGAGCTGTATGACCCTCTCAGAATGTAATCGTGGCAGTAGTGGCCTGGGTCGGATCGGGAACTGAGCTGCTCAGAGATCGAGTGGTAGGACTATAGTAGGCTCTGATGATGCCACTGAGGAAGGGAGCATCTCTGTAGTCTCGGTAACAGGTGCAATAGTAGAAGGACCTGGGACATGTAGATATGGAGGAGTAGGCATCCGTGTCAACTCACTAAAGGAAGCACCAAGGCTCCTAGACACTATGGTCTCTGGCACTAGCAGTGAGGGCGTCTCATCTGGTGTGAAGCCCGTATGAAGCGGTGTGAACTGTGGAGCCGGGCAAAGTGGACGTAGCAAAACCGGGACGCTTCGCTCAGAGGGAGAAGCAAACTGTGCTAGTGGTTGTCCCTGACTCTGAAGCCCACTAGCCTGTAATGCTAGAGTCATCGAGGTAGTGGCAGTCTGACCAAGCTAGGGCGAAGGCTGTGACGGTGGAGCCCCAATAGCAGTCACAATATGCTGCATAAATCCAAGGAGCTATCGCTGCATGAGGATCTGCTGGCCGATGCATGGGCTCGCCGCCGTCAGAGAGCTCGCGTCTGTTGATGTATAGTATAGCTGCTGGTCAAGGCTGGAACTCATCCTACCGAAGTGCGAATCGAGCAAATGTAGCACCTATCTCCTGAGCCTGTCGTGCCTGGTCCCGCCTCATCCGCTCAAGTATAGCAAGGAGAGCGGGGTCGGTCTACGGGGTAGGTGGCACTGAGCTAGAGCTACCAGCCTCATGGTCATGTCGCTGAGGAGGCATCCAAGGGATGGGCTGATAGTCATCATCGAATCGTCACTTGGGGGTCGCCACGACCATCCCCTCCTCATCGAGCAAGCTCCTTCTCCTCTATAGCTACAATGCCCCTAATGATATCATCCTTTGGGTCAGAGACTCGCACATCGGACGACGGCAATGGCCGACTAGGTGCCTATGGAGTGCTAAGGACGGATCATCTCAGGTCATGTTATAGGCGGGGAACTCGGTCAGAAAGCACCACTATACTCTACAAGCATCTCTGGTGGCCTCACTGTGACTGCTCTGTGGATAAGCCAGGTGATCCAATGAGCATAGGGCAACTGCCTGCGACCTCTAAAACCCTCAGCTATAGTATCCTCCATCTCTGACATAAGAAGATCCCAAATATCAAAAACTGTCTGCTGCATCAGAGAGTTGATAAGCCACAGCTGTATCCAAGTCAAGCCCTCTCTGTATCCCATCCTGGGAAGTAGTGTCCTCCTCATAATGGCCTTAAGCACACGAGCAGTGGGGTTAAGATCACTGGGGTTCCTCCTCGACCCTTTGCCAAAAGGCTCCTTGAAACAGTGATGGACCAAGTCAGTAGGGGGCACATTGCCACCATGCGGGTGTCTGGGAGGTTCAGTCTATCCATAGCAAACCTCATGAAGTCTGACAGGCTGCTCCTGAAGTCTGAGTATCTCTCTGACTCTAGTGCTCGTCATCCGATAGTCTCTGCCTCTAAATGTAAAGTGTATGAAGTTATGGTGTGGGTCAATAAAGAGAGAAGCATAGAACTGACAAACCCAAGATGGAACATATAATCCTGTCCGTCCAATCAGATCTGTTAGCCCCGACAGATATGCAAGATAGGGGCGAATGTGCTCTCCAGCTGCTGCAACTATAGAATCAATATGGCACACCCTCTGAGATCTAAAAACTGCCCCACTGTTGAGATAGGTGTTGTAGAAGTCCTCCTACAGTGGAGTGTAGAAACCCTCTGATGCTCTCTCATCCCTCCTCGGTGGAAACCACACCTCAAAATCAACAAATCTTAGCTGCTGAACATGCTTGGCCGTGGCGGCCCTCAAGTCAAGATGGGTCACTGGAGGCGGACCCTATGGTCTGGGCGGTGGATGAGAACCCCTCCGCTAAGTATCTGCTATCGGTGTGACTGGGGCACGAGTGCGACCAGAGCGGCGTAACTATGGCTGAGGTGCCTGCTCTGTCTCCTCTGCCTACTC